AAAAGTAGTAAATTTTAATGTCCCTGTCCGCCTGTTGTTTAACAGTGAAACCAAGCTGTTTCTAAAACCAAAAGGCTTTTTCCAAATAGATATTTTTTCACCAAGCATTTATGTGGCTGAGTAGGTTGACTAAGAAAGTGCCAGATAACATACTCTGCAGCCTCGGCAGCACTGTACAGCACAGTAAGAGCCACAGTGTCAGGCAGGAAGTAACTAGAGGTGCTTCATGCAAGGTTGCTGGATTTGCAAAATTCTGAAGATTGTAAACTTGTAATCTTGAGGCTGTTCTTATCCGTGTATGCTTTGTGGTAGCATAAGGGTAGAAGCTGAATTGAGGAGCCTTTCTGATGCTGGATTTCCAGTGAATATTATCATACCTTCATGGTGAGGCCAATAGGATGAAATTCAAGACCAAGTGCCAGGTCCTGCACTTTAATCACAACCACCCCATACAATGCTGCAGGCTTGGGGCAGAATGACTGGAAAGCTACATGGAGGAAAAGGACTTGGGGGTGTTGGTCAACTCCTGAATATAAGCCAGCAGTGTGCCCAGGTGGCCAAGAAAGCCAATGGCATTGTGGTTTGTATCAAATAGTGTTGTCAGCAGGAGCAGGGAGGTGGTCATCCCTCTGTACTCAGCCCTGGTGAGGCTGCAACTTGAGTACTGTGTTCTGTTTTGGGCTCCTTGCTATAAGAAAGGCTTCAAGGCCCTGGAGCATTTCCAGAGAAGGGCAATGAAGCTGGGGAAGGGAGACTGTGGCAAGGTGGTGTTTGGCCTCTTTTCCCAGGTAACAGTGATAGGGCTAGAGGAAAGGCCTCGAGTTGCACCAGGGGAGATTCGGATTAGATTTTAGGAAGAATTTATTATCAAAAAGAGTGGTCAGCTTTGAAACAGGCTGCCCAGGGGATTGTTGTAGTCACTGTCCTTGAAGGTGTTAAAGGGTAGATGTCAGACTTAGGAGCATGATCTAGTGGGCAATATTGGTGATAGGTGGACGGTTGGACTGGATGATCCTAAGAAGTCTTTTCCAACCTTAATGATTCTATGATTTGGTTGTGAAAAAAGGAGGAGTTGTGATAACGTCTGCTGGGGTGATGCTGATCTTCACTGTTAAGGATTTAAGGACCCCTTTTGGAATCAGGGCCCATGTGCTCAGAACATGGCAAGATCAAGGTCTTAGGAAGCATCATTAGTATCTTAAAAGAACTGCCAATGTAGTATGCGTCTTTCTTTCACACGAGCTGAAGAAATTCCTCCTGTCTTTTATTCTTTTACTGTTTAGAGTCTGGTACAAAATATCTTTTTCTGATGCCTCAGCCACTTCCATGGTTGATGTACTCTGTCCAGTTGACTCATCACTGTGTATGTTTTCTCGACTTCTAATTAAAATCTGTTCTATTCTAATATTAGACCAACATTCCTTGTTATATCACCCTTCATTCTTAAGTAATTCATCCTGCAGCCTCCTTACTCTGTATGACTAATGTCTTTCTCAAATATTCTTAGAACATTTTAAAATACCATCTATATTATAAGCAGCACAGTAGCAATACCTCTCATTACAGTTGCTTAACACTTTCTGTCATAACTCAGTGCTTTCTTTCGCTTAGGATTTTGAGAAGACTTTAACCTTCTTGGCTGGAATTTTCCACGCATTGGTGTTTGCCTCAGCCTGAAATTTCCACTTGTGACTAAAATTTTTTTTGTTGGTCTGTTAGCTAAAAATGTAATTGGCATTTCATAGAGGAGGCACTTCTAAATCAGCTTCTATTAGGTTCTTCTCACAGAAAGTTCATGAGATCTAAAGGAGGAGTTGGCTTTTTGGGCCAACTTTTAATCTCTTCTTAAAACAAAAAAGTATCTGGTTTAAAATTTTAGGTTGATATTCTTCATGTCTGTCTACCAATAACCACCTGAAACTTGTTTCCCTTAGTTGCAAAACGGAAAAAAGTGAAATTAGTTATTTCTGCTTGTGAACAGTGAGACTCCTGAAGGCTGTTTGGTGTTGAATGTGTAAGTATTTCTATGCTGCTTGTCCAGTTAAAGAAAACAATCTGGGCATTGAAGGTGTTTTGCTGTAGCTAAGCCCTATTACTGTCTGTTTTCAATCCTTCTGATATACTCATGTTCTTTATTTCCACCAAATTTGCTGGAATAATTTGCAATAATAAAAATGAGTGCACTTCAAAGTCATTGTCAGGTTGTGGAGGAGTAAAATCATGAGCATCATACTGTTTCCAGGCCTGTTATTTATATTTCAACTTATTTGAAAGTTTAATGTAGTGCCTCAAAAATTGATCAAATAATAGAATTGCAGTAAACCTGAAGGGCACCAATACGTAAAGAATAGTGGAAGGAAAAGAAAAACCAAACTTATAGCACGTAGAGATGGTGGGTAAAGGAGCTTTTTCCAGTCTTCATTGCTGATAAAAACATAATAAACAGCGGATGGCAGCTGTAGTTACACAGATGGTATTGACTGGTCACCTACAGGGCAGGAAAATAATTTTTTCAGTGAGTAACTAACTGGTCAGACGTATCTTGGAATTTTAGGTTGCCTTCGTCTGAATCCATGAACACATGCAATAGGCATAAATTTAGACAAGGCAGAGCAGTGCTCTGATGTGAGCATGCCCAGGATCCTTGCTGTTACCTGAGTGGTTGGGGCTTCTATGAGTGTCTGGGTCCAATGGAACACACGATTTGCATTTGGGAAGAAAATCAGACTGGGGAGGACTCTTGCCTGTGTCTGAGGTACTGCAACCATTGGCCTGGGAGGATCTGGATGTGTCATCACACACCCTGCTCACCTTTCTGGAGGCCTTGTGGGTTGCTGATGTCTGTCTCTCTTGTCACTTGACGTGTTTGGCTTCTGAGGGTTGAAACGCTTTAAGTTGAATTACAGTCCTTGAGGTCAATGCAGCAATGTCTGGGTAGGGCTTGAGAGCCTGTGGCATGTTAATGATCTAACTAGATGCTACAAAAATTCTTTCTGGCTTTATCTTCCATAAAATTCAGCTTGAGTTCCTGGAGTTGATACAAAGTAGAGCAGCCTGCCTGCACATTTCTAGTCTGCTCACAGACTTCTTCATAGGTGCAATGATCTGGTGTGATGTAAAAGGCCGAGACTTAATCTACATTTAGGTTTGCTGCAGAACATGAGACAGGAGCTTTCCTGCAACACTTTTGCAGCTGCAGACATTTTTAGCAGAGATCCATACAAACTGTAAAATAAATATAGTACCCACAAAATAAGCATATACATTTTTTTTAAGCTACAAATTATTTCCTCCAAGTTTTAAAGCATACTGGTATTCTATTAATGAAATCTTCTAGTGCTTTAACCTAACAAAACAAAGCCTGTGTGCTAAAAGACCTCTCTTGGGTTGAAAGGAGTGTGTGATTGGTTTCAGCTTCTCCCTAAGTGTTAGAGAGCTCCAAAGGCAAAAAATCTTTGTGCCCTTGAAAGAAAAGGACAACTAATTTTATCCCTTAATTATTTCAGGGAAAGCGTTATCAGTGAACTGAGCGAATGAATCTGAAAAACTGTTTGAAAGATCTGAGTGAAAGATACCACTACCAGCAGATTTCCAAGGAAGATGGATATGCTTCATGTACATTTCTACTAAGTCAGAGATTTCCAGTTTGAAATGCATTACCGGCTTAAATCCCCCAAACCAGCATTGCCTAGCTATGTTCCCTCTGAGACAGTATAGCAGCACCCCCCAAAAAAAAGAGGTGTTCAGATTTCCTGAGGTTTGTGTTACAGCATATTAAGGAAATCCTCAGCTCTGTGGGATACATCTTCACTGAAAGACAAGGGTAGAAGAGAGCATTAGAGCTGCTTTGCTTGACTTCTCACAGATTTCACAGCAGGAGTTTGGAACTAGATGATCTGTGAGGACCCTTCCAACCCAAGCCACTCTGTGATTCTATGATTTGAGGAAAATTAAAATCATTCAGCTTGTGACTTGAGGAATCCAGTTCTCAAGAGAAGTTTGAGGTTTGACTGAAGTGCACGTGGAATTCAGGGTCACTGCAGGCTTCCTTCTGGGCTGTAATGGGATTAATGGGATTGCTGCTTCTAGTAAAAACCCACTTAAGAACATACTGTTTATATTGTGTATATATAACTTTTTAAATTGGAAGCCCTGAAAGGAGAGCTTTCACTGACTTCCTTGCAAATGTAATTATGTCATTAAGAAAAAAGCTTGCACCTAGCATGTTCTTTCAAAATAGGAATGGAAGGTAAGAAGCATTACTTTATGAATATTGTTCATTTTGTAGGATGAACTTTGGGGTGTCTAGTCCTGCAGCAGTGAACCCCTTATAATGTGGTGAGAAGGATGATCCAAATACTGCTGATTTCATTTAAGACTGTCTTGATAAAAATGTGATTCCTGTGAGAACAAACTGTTGTATTTGTAATGCTTAATGATGACTGTGGTGGTGTTCCTCACTAATCAGCTGCTGCCCCGAGGGCTGTAACTTTGCTAGCAGGAGTTGTGACAGAAGGTATCCTGACTTCTATCAAGAAAACAAACCATATGTTAAATACTAGACATAGGATGGATATTTCTATGGCAAATACTGAGAATAGAAAACAATCTTTTGTGCTTCAAAAACAGTTGTTTTGTGTGTGCTTCTGTTAAGCTAAAAAACAACACCCTTTATATAAACAAATTATGTGTATTGCATGCAGTATGTACAAGTTAAGCAGCTTTACTGAAGTGGTTTCATTTACAGCCCAGGCCACCACACAGATGGCATTTTGCTGGAAAGTTAATGAAGTTAGAGAAACTGTGTGGAAGTGTGCAACTCAATTCATCTTTAGTTTTAATATGATTTTTCTCATGCTCCCAGAAGCAAATAAGTTTTCACTAGGTTTTTTAAGCTCTAGATACGGTGCATTAGAAAGTAGTGTTCTAGCTTTGAATTGGTATCCAGATGTTCCAGGAACCTAGTGAATAAGTAATCTTGAAATGTGCTTTGTTTTTAGAAACTGGGAAGGTATTCACCTGGGGCAGAGCAGACTACGGACAGCTTGGAAGACATGCAGTGGTTCCTGATGGGCAGGAGACGTGCACAGCATCTGAACAATCCATGAAGCTGTTTTGTAACATTCCTATTTCCTTGTCTTGCCTAAATGGAGCATCTCAGGTAATGAAGAAATTACCATTTTTCTGGGTTTTTCTTGGGTGCATTAAGATAATCAGAACAATTTCCTAATAGAAACCTTTCAAATGCTGCAGCACAAGCCCTTGTTGCTCTTCCTGTAAGCTCAGAAGTTAATGATTCAATTACTTCAAATTTCATAAAAGGCTTTTGCATTAAGAAGCTGATTTTCTCTTGTTTGAACCAGATGCCAAGTTCTTTCACATATAAATGCATACTGGAGATAGTTGCAGCTTTGATGAAGTCTCACATCTGGGGTGGGATCTTGCCCAGGTGTGGCACTACTTCTTGCTGAAGCCCTCTGTAACAATTTAGCCAATGGCTGTTCTCTAGCTGATAAGTTATATTGCAGCTTCTGTCTCAGGTAGACTAAGCAATTATGAAGATTTCTCTACTTCGTAACATTCTTGAGCTGTATTGGGGGGGTTTCTTTTTTTGTATGACTGAGAAAATCCACAAACACAAAGATGGTGGGAAAGTGGATGTTGCATAGGAACTCAAAGTTGCTTGCTGTAGTCTGACAAATCATGCAACCCGTACTGCCTGCAAACCATATTCTTGGCTTGTTTGCTTGTCTGAGAAGCAGCATGTGGAAATTGGCCTGCTGGGAAGCAGTGTGCAGGTGCCTGTAGCAGTCAAAATGCAAGGAATAAGTACAGGTTGAGGTCTTCAGCTGCAGTGCATGCACTGCTGCTCTGCTTCCAGCTTGTGTCTTATAGCAGGACGTCGGGTAGCAGTCAGCCTCAGCCCTTTCCTGTCGTCGGTGTTCTGCACTCAGATGAGAATGGAACCTTAGAGCATAGGATACTGCATTGACAAATAATTTGTTTGGTTGGTGTTGACTCCACTGAGTCTCAAACAGCAGTCTAACTCATTTTGAGAATGGCATCCTTGCTTTTGTTATTGGATAGCTATAGGAACACCGTCGTTAAACCTGTTTTGTGCTGCTTTTCATCTGTACTTTGGACAATGCCTGAAGTAGTTCTCTTGTACAATACAAAGCCGTGGCAGCTGTAGTTTTTGCCAGGGGAACTTAAGCTTGGCAGGATGAGTGATCCATGAAGGTGAAGGAAGGAGATGCAATCAGAAACATTCTTTGAAAAGAAAGAAAGAGTAAAAACAACATCTCATCTTCATTCTGCTGCCCTCAGCGCTGTTCCTCCTTATAGACCTGTGAGAGACTTGATTTGAGTGATTAGCAATGGCAGTGTTCTGGAGGAGGCATCATTCTTTCCAGAGCTAACAGCATGAAGATGATTTAAGAAGAGTGTGATCAAGAGCTAGCATCATTTGTACGCTGAGAGGAGCTGCATTGATGGGAAAAGGAAAAAACAGATAAGAGCCTAAATCACTTCACTTCAAGGTTACAAAATAATGCCAGAGTTAGAATCTATACCTAAAATTGTGTTAAGTTGCAGTGTATATACTGTGTAGTATGTGAACTGGTGTTGTTTTTTTTTTTCCTATCCTTTTTTCCATTTGTCATCATTTAGAGACGAGGTTTGATTTGAGCCGAGTTAAAATGAACACAGAGAGGGTGAGTTCTTCTCCATGCTTACTGTGAATTATCAACTCCAACATAATACACTTCATTAAAGAGGACCAATTTAATAGCTGAGGCTTACAACTAATGATTTTTAATGATTGAACAAAAATTTTGAATGACGTTTTGGTCCATTGATTCCCTTTGAACTTGTGTTAATACTGCTAAAACCAAAGTGGAGAAACCGATGTAGAAATTAGAGGAGAGTATAAAAGGCACGCTAGCTTAAGTCTACTGTGCTGTCCTTGAGATAACCTCCTGTGCTCTGACTTGTCTTCATACCCTCACCAAGGACTGGGGAGTCTCTCTTCTTTGTGCTGAAATGAGTATAATCTCTGTATCTGCAGTCTGTCTACCTTTCCAAAACTGAATTTTGAAATGTTGTGGAAGACTCTTTTCACTGCGAGTTTGACTTCATCTCACAAATTCGTTTGGAAACACTGACCTTGAGAAATACAAGTGGATTTCTTTTATTTGTTTTTCATCTGAAACAATGGAAGAACAAAAGCCTGCACTTAAGATGATTATCTGCTAATCAGCTTTAAGTGTGCATGAACATCAGGTTCCTGTAGTCTCCTGCCTTTAAACTTCCTGAAATAAGAGTCTGCGGGCCTATTTATTATTTTTCTCTCAGTGCTTTTGTGCAAAACTGCCGTGGAATAGGATGAGACACTGAAAAGGAACTTGGGGCTGTAGCAGAAGTCAGTTGTGTGAGACATTATGCATGCGGTGCTCTTATGTTGTGGGGCGTCCTTGATTGGACCTCTTCAGAACATCTGACTCATCTGCTGCCTGATGTGCATTCACAGCCACTGCTCTTCAGATGAAAGGACAATTAAATACGAATGGCCTGAAATATGATGAGCCTCTGTATTTAGCAAATGCTACAAAGACCTGGCTTAATGTTTCCTCCTTGTCAAAATGCTTTTCCAGGCCAATTTGATATTTTTGGTTTTAATAGCTATCATTTTACTGTTTGGGTATGTTCAGCATGTCATTCACGTTGCAGCAAGCATTTGCTGCAGCAGTAAACAAATGAGAAGAAATCATCCTGCAGTGCTGAACATTTCTCACTAAATTGGATAGAAGGGAAGTCTACAGTCATTTTGGATATGCAGCACGGTTCATATGCAGCCGTGCTCTCATTATACCCTTTCTGTAATTAAAGAAAGCTGTGCAGATTACAGCTGAGGACTGAGATCTCCAGTTTCAGTTACGAAACTACAAAAACTTGTATGGTTGTCATTTTTGGATACCTGAGATCTTGGACTTAATTCCCTCCTCAGTTTCACAGTCACCAAGCCTGACTCTTGGCAGTGATGACTGAAGGGGGGCCAGTTGTGTCAGGGAACAAAAATAAGCCATTGACGTTGGCAGCCTGTACCTGCCTTGCTTCTGCTGACCCTGCTGTGGTTTTGTGGTGCAAAATTGCTTAAAAAAAAATCTAGTCAGTGTTAAGACAGAGCCTGTGTCAGCAGCAGCCCTGGAAGGGGGCTGTCCTAAATACGGAAATCCTCTTCTGCCTTGCTAGGTAGGGTTCTTTCAGTAGCTGCCTTGTCCATCTATGAGAAGCCTAAGCGGGAAGACTGCAGTGTAAAGATTATCTTAGTATGAGCTAAGTCAGGTCTGACCCAGGGTATGGATGTTGTCCAAATCTATGTGAAATTATGGTTTGAAGCAAGAGGTTGGTGGAAGAGGCCCTAAAGCATGCAGTTTTTCATTCTCAATTTGTCATTAAAACTGTTACAGAGAAGGGATTAACAAATCAATGCAGGCTCAAACGAGAGAAAATCAATAAGAAACTGTAGTGAACTGGAACAAAGCTATCAATTTGCAGCATTCTCTGCAAAGAAATCTCATCAGTATCTTCTTCTAAGGATGGAAAAATAATGTTAAAATGATTACTGGGGGTTAGATGAGTTCTAGTTTACCTGCCTGACCCTAGAACTTCAGGTCAAAAACCCTGTAGGTGTAAATAGTAATATTTCTTTTGTCTGTTGCATTGATGAATTTCTGGTTGGTTCTGTAACAGAGGAATCTTTTCATAAAAACAGCAACAAAAAGCAACCAATTCAAAGAGTATTACTCTTAGAAGTTGGATGGAGTGCTCTCTGTTTACTCTTTTGCATTAATAGTAGTGATTTCACTAGTTCTTTTATTCTGCCTTGTTTTCTTAAAAAGAAATTCCACAAAATAAAAGCCAACAACAATAAAAACCAAAAACCAAGTGTTACTTCATAAAAGTTTCTCCTTGCTGGATTGTATGTATTACCTAGCTAAAAAAATTGCACAGGGTAGTGCTGGGCTTCTGGGTAGTGTGCAACAAATGGCTGAGGTGAGGTGGGTCCTGGTGGTTGTGACACTGCTTGTTCCTCTGCTTGTTCCTCGGGGCTTTGCCAAGTCACTTGTCACTGTGGGGCCATAACCTCACTGAGCCAATGCTGTTCTGGCTAGCCTGCAGGCTGTTTTTCCTTGCTTTTAATTTCAGGATTTGAGATTTGATTTGAACTTGGGTCATAGTGGTGATGGCTTTGCTTTTCATTTGTCTGATGTTTGCAGCTTTTGCTTATCGTTGCGGCATTGAAGCTGTGAGCCCTGCTGGTCTTGCTGGCCTTTGTGCTTATGCTATAAGCTGCAGTAATGCTATTGCTTAAAGGATTCAGAAGAGGGAGAAGCTCGTGTTTCTGCTGTAATGCTTACAGCTGCTGCTATGCCATGTCAGTATCTTGGCACACAGTAGGTTTCAAACACCAAATTCATTAGGCAGCCTGCTAAATGGCAGGTGTCTGTCTGTCCTCTCACCGGGTACTTCATCTCTTTTGCCTCACTTCTAATTGAAACTGAAGTCATCCAATGCAGGAGCTATGTCTGAACTCGGTGCTTGTTTTTAGAGTCTAACATAGCCCATGCCTCTGCCCCACAATCAACCAGTAAAGCTTGTTTGTGAGAGGAGGGAGAAGTGAAAGCAAAGATGATGCCTCTAATCTCGTGAGGACAGAAATGGTAAAGTGTCTCCTGCTTTAAAACCTGCTGAAGGGTTTGTTCTTGGTCTCCTGGCGGCTGATTGCAGAGGTGTCACTGAATTCAGTGGCTATGGCATGTAATCAGATAGCAGCAAAGATTGCTAAGACCTGTGCTCCTGTTGCTGATGCCTTAGAGGATAGTCTATCACAAAAGAAGCAAATAAAAACTCTAACAAGAAACTTTTGTTTTATTATACAGGAGAAAAAAGTGATAGTTCCTTAGTGGTATGTATCTGATAATGCCAGCTCTGGTGTTTTATCGCTTCACCTCCAAATCCCATCTGTCCTTCTGTCTCCAGATGTATAGCTATTAGAAATCATCCCTTCTTGGCAATGACTGTATAGGGAGCCTGTGAGGAGTTCTTAAAATGCATTTGTTTACCAGAATATTTGCCACAGTGTTTGTGTTCTCTAGTGTT